AAGTGGATTTACAGCATGTTCTGCACGTGTTTTATTTTGTCAATAAAAGGAATGTTTTGTAACATTTCTGTTTACTGCGAACTTATTGTTCACTGATTACAGGAGGACACAAGAGAAAATCATTGGATGAAGTTTCAGCATTATATAAAGAACTGAGTACCAAGGTGTTTACACAAAGTGCTATAAAAGGCACGAGCAGTCTAGTATGGAGTCACGCGTATTACGACACTGCGTTGTGGGAAAAATTATTAACAGAGCATTTAGGCGACAAAATTCTTATCAAGACCACGCGCGATCCAAATACGCCAAAGGTGCGTAGATTTTAATATATCATATATAGTCGAGAACGAAACTCGAGATAAAATGTATAATGCATATCTCACAGGCGGGTAATTTAAATGTAGAAAGACTTTAACCACGTTTGCATTTTTAGTTTGCAGCAATATCCGCCGTAGTAAATCACGAGCACGTCATGGCTTACGTGTTTAGAAATTACACATTACCACACAGAGTAGAAAGCCAGTATATGGGGTCCCACAAATATAAATTGTGGGAAGCCGTAAGAGCATCAGCTGCTGCACCGAGTTACTTTGAGGAATTTAAATACGGCGACTATCTTCATCAGGATGGCGGTAAGCTACCTGATATTCCGGCGTAAATCGTATAAAAATGGAATACAAATTTTAGCAATATTATCGAGAATAGTTGTAACAATGCTATAGGTATTTTGGTAAATAACCCGTGCGCCGTAGCGATACACGAAGCCAAACAGTTGTGGCCGAATAATCCAATTCAGTGCGTCGTATCGTTCGGAACAGGTCGAATCCCACATTACATCACTGGAAACGAATCTTCAGAGATAGCGATCTCGAGCTGGAAAGAGAAGTTCTACAAAATTTTGGATAGCGCCACTGATACAGAAGGTAATACTAATATAATATGAAGGTAATAACTAACTGCAGAAATTTAGAAACAAATTAGAGAAAGATAATAACTGATAAAATAATTGATTAATTTTCATAATACCGATCTCAATTTTTTCAGCTGTGCATACGATGCTCAATGACCTACTACCTGATCATATTTACTTCAGATTTAACCCTTATTTAACAGAAATGTTATCGATGGTTGAAATTCGACCTGACAAGATCAGCCAAATGGAACAAGACGCAAGAATGTACATACGTCGAAATGAAGAAAAATTTCAAAAAGCAGCTACGGCTTTATTAGAGAAGCGACAGATTCAGCAAAAAGTTATAGATTGGATCATGTTACAAAGACAATTATCCGGTTTATAAAGAGCGACTTTTCAAATATTAACGTACATTCCACAGCGCGATCTGTGTTTGCAAATCACGTGGACATCTACTATAGTACAACTTTTTTATATTTCACATGCAGTGGCTATCAATCTAAAATGTTTCAAATTATACTTTCTTAATAATGCTTTTTGGATGATATAATAGGAAATAGTGTAACAGATATATATTTTTTAATGTCTTGTCATACTTTTTTGTTTTATTACTTAACATTTGCATATTTTTTAACTTTTGTTTAAAGTTTGTGTAATTAGCTGTTGTAAAGTAAGATGTCTACAACTTTAATAATGACATCTATAAATGAGAAGTTTATTTTAGATCAATGTAGATATATTATTATTAGCATTTGACTGTGATATTCTTTGTAGTGTAAAAATTTAGTATTAATTAGTATCATTCTTTGTTAGGTCTGTTCTTTATTGCTGAACTTTTGCACCAGTTCATATTTTTTCTTTTTCCCTTCTTCTGGAAAGAAAAGGAAGAAAGATAAACTAGTGCAAAAATTCAGCAATAAAGAACAGACCTCTTGTCATACATTTAACCCGCCTGAGACACATACAGGAGCGTAAAATTGTACATTTTTAAATAGATAAGAGAAAATGTATCTTTATATCAAAATAGCATTAATTTACAAATATACTAAGTGTTTCACATATATATATTTTTTTTTACTGTCATGTGCGTATGCTTGCATGCAAAATTCTAAATAACACATTAAGTATGTGAAAAATTAAATAAAAATTAATTTAAAAAGAAATTAAATTGTATTATTTTAATGATAATTTTATTTCAAAAACTTTGAGATAAATTCTAATATACATTATTTTATAAATACATGTTTCTTCTTAAATATAGGGAATGTATAGTAATATTTTTTAAACATCTGTTTTTTATTCCTTCAATTTTTACAATTATTTTGTATTTTATATTATTTATTCTATAAATGGTATTTAAAAAACTTGTAAATGTATAGACAGTTTAAACTACACCAATTTTTTTTGTAAAGGGCATTTGTGGCGTGATTTAGCATTTGGCGCTAGTATCGCTATATATGGTTCATTTTTACTCATTCGCGATTCAATTTTCAATTCGATCTGATTCGATACGTCTTGCAGCTTCCGTTTCCGAAAGCTTGTGTATGGTTCTTTGTAAATTTTGTAATTTCCATTCTATACATCCATTTAATCTACTAAAGTCGAAAGATACATTTAAAGAATTGCAACTTTTTTAATCTATTATATAAAATTACACTTTCTTATGAATATTATATATAATCTTGAGATACGAGTTTTCTTCACGATCTACCTAACCTCAACAAATAACATGTATGTATAACAGTGTCTTGAAATAATTAAATATTGTTGCAGGTAGAAATAAATAGGTTCAGACGATGGCCAAGTCCAAGAATCACACAAATCATAATCAGAGTAAGTATATTTTATAAATAATCAGAAAATTTTTAGTAAATTGTGTTGTGGATTTTTAAATATAGTCGTTTTATACAATTTTAATGTTTTTAGATAGTATTACATGTATATGTGTGTGTATGTAAGAGTAGAGTAGTACTAAAAATATTTAATTTAGAATCTCATAAATTGAACATGTAAATTATTGTTGTTGAACTGTTTATTTTTATATCTTTTTTAGATAGAAAGGCACATCGAAATGGTATTAAAAAGCCTAAGAGATACAGGCATGAAAGCACACTTGGCGTAAGTTCTGTTAATATATTTTATTGTACATTATATTCATTTTAGTATTGGTAAAGGTGCAATGGAGGGTAACTGTCTCAAAAATCGATTAAATTATACTTATTCGACGTGTTTTCCATAAAACGAAAGAATCTGGCAGAAATAAGCGTCGTTCTGTACCCTGTGAATATAGATATTAAGTCTCATGACATATGTTCATGACATATATCTTAACCTCCCAGTATCTGAGAATGGATTGAAATGAATTAAAATGGATTCAAATTTTTAGAAATACGGATTCATGAATGTTAAAATTAATCCTTTTCAATCTGAATACGTTTTTATTCATTTATAGGAATTGCATAGAGCATATCTGTATACTTTTCAATCAAAAAATAATATCAGCTTTTTCAGTGCATTTGTGACCATAGTGAATACTGTACAATTCAAAATTTTGAATAGGAAATGCAGTTTTTCAATCCAGTTGCATCCAATTGAATCTAATTGAATCCAAAAAAGTTTTTGCTATTTAAAATATGAATTCGAATAAACAAAATGTCCAATCCATTTTAATCCATTCTCGGATGCTATGAATAGTCGTCAATTTTAACGCTTAATATCTCTGTTCGCGAGGCAGAGCGACGCCTATTTCTGCCAGATTCTTTCGTTTTATGGAAAAACGCATCAAATGAATATAATTTAATCGATTTTTAAGATAGTTATCTTCCATTGCACCTTTACTTTAGTATTTTATTTACTACAATTTTTAATAAAGTAAAAGAAAAGCATGTAAAAAATATTGTGTGTGACGGAACATTCAGTAAATAAGTAACACATTCAACATATATCTTTAATATTTGAAATAGTTCACAATATTTAAAGATTTTAATGTTTAATCATTCTTACTTTACTATGATTTTACAAGTACCTTTTATATGTACGTATTTTTTATACACTTTATAGATGGACCTAAAATTCTTAAGAAATCAACGCTTTGCGAAGAAACATAACCTAAAACCGAAGGCCCAGTTAAAGAGGGCAGAACAACGGAAGGCTCTTCGTGAAGCTAAAAATAAAAAATAAATTCAGTGTGAACTAATGACTTTTAAAATAAATTGAAAAAAAAAACATTTGTGGTCAAAGTTTTTCACCCTTCTCTAATTTTACAGAGGCTAGATTCGGGGAGACGTTATTAGCGCTATTTGTTTCATTTTATCTTCGTCGTCCATTAGACGTGAGACAAGGACGTACCACACAAATGGCGCTAATAGCGCGCTGCCCGAATGCAGCCAGAGAAAGCCACCGTTTTGCCGCGGAGGCACACAGCCCGACGATAGGATCTTATGGCGAATTCGACAAACTGCACTAGTGCGCACCAGTGCGAACTTTTTTGGTGCCACGCATTCGGAATGTGCGCACCGTATCAGTGCGCTTAGATTATCGTATTCGGCAAATGAAAACTGACCTAGTGTAGTGCTGAATTTGTATTCGGACCAACCGAAAGAACCGAACGAGTGCAAGAAATATTGCAGTGACATTTTTATCAGTGCAGTTTGGTGTTCGGACAAATAAAACTAGTTAGGCAGCAAAAAATTACAAAATGGATAAAGAAAGAATATTATTTATTATAGATAAATTATTAGAAACAAGTAGTAGTAGTAGTGATGATGAAAATATGTTGTTTAATAAAAGAAGAAAGGCCGAAAATTAATTAAAAATAAGAATATTAAATTATTATTATTATTATTATTATTATTTTATTATTAATAATTATTATTATTAATTAAAAATTAAATTATTAATTAAATTATTAATTAGTGTAGTTTTGCACTCGCACCGTGTCAGGGCAGCACCGTGTCAGGGCAGCACCCTATCAGGGCAGCATCGTGTCAGAGCAGCACCGTGTCAGGACAGTACCGTGTCAGGGCAGCACCGTGTCAGTGCATATGTATCGAATGTGCCATTAGTTTATTTCTTACACAACGTTTAACTTTTTATAAAGAAATGAGTGTGATAGAAGTAAAAAAAACTCCAAACAGGCTATTCGATGCTTTTTGTTTAGAAATTACGGCGCTTATACGGCTTGTATCTGTAGACCATTACATGTCAATATGGCCACAGAGCAGGCGCTGGAGGCGTGCGATGTCACAAAAATCGTGAATAATTCGATGAAACCAGAACAAATTTTGTTGTTTAGTGGCAAAAGGAAATCTGGAAAGGATTATATTACTGATATCTTGTACAACAGGTATTATATCAATATTTTATATAATTATTTGTATAAGATAAAATGCATTACTCAGCAGAAAACCGAATATAAAATTAACATACGAAACTGTCAAATAAAATGAAGCTGTATTAAAGACATATTTCTATGCTTATATTATAATAATTAAAGAGTTGATTGTTATTTATCTAATGTATATAGTTAATGTTTTCATAAATAATGATATAATTTATTAAAACGAATGTAAAGTGTTCCTAAGAACAGGCATAATTTATTAATATAAATTTTTCTTGATATAAAGATTTGTTTACACGATTTTTAGAATTGGTGCGCAAAGGAGTACGATTATACGTTTATCGGGACCTATAAAGACACACTGGTCAAAATCTCTGGGTCTTGACATCAGTCAATTACTGGGACATGGTGAATACAAAGAGAAGTATCGATTAGAAATGGCTAAATGGGGAGAGAATATGAGAATAAAGGACTATGGATACTTCTGTCAAGCTGCTATTGACATGTACAATGGTACAACAAGCTGAAGAATACTTTATTAAAAATTATAGTTAATATTCGTAGTCAATTCTTATACTTAATATCGTTTTAAGTGATACATAACTGGTTCTTAGCCTTTCAATTGTTCTATTTTGTTAAATATAATATAATTAATATAAAACAAATGAGAGAGAGAGAGGGGGGGGGGGAGAGAGAGAGAGAGAGAGAAAAGAGCCAGCGATATGTAAAAAATATTTAATATATTTAATGTATAATTTATGTTATAATTTCAAAAGATATTAATTTCTACAATAAATTTAAATACATGTTTTTCAGCATGGGATAAGCCAGTGTGGATAATAAGCGATGTCAGAAGAAAAACTGACATCAAATGGTTTACAGAAAACTTCGGGGATGCGTGTAAGATTGTACGTATAGTTTGTTCTGAGAAAGTTAGGCAGAAACGAGGCTGGGTCTTTACATCAGGTAATAACATTATAATCGTAATTTTAAGGAATTGCAAAAACTTGATTTTCAGAGAATCTGGCATTATCAAAAATTTACAGATTGTAATTTAATCATTGTAGGAATAGACGATTCAGAAACAGAGTGCGATTTGGATGACATAAATAATTGGGACGTTGTGCTGGAGAATAACGATGATAGCGACATAGAAGCTATATTGCAACAGTTGTTAGGCCTTGTTAGCTAGGAAAAATATCTTTCTATGTTGTCAAATTTGCAATAAACAATGTTTCATAATTTCTTTGTAATTTTTTTTTTAAATTATGTATCACAATTTGATAACAATTTTTATGCAATAACATTTTAGTAATATGTATATGGAACATCTCACTTGACAGATTTTTTATGTTTTAATTGACTTTTATCTGCATGAATTGTATATATCAACAGAGAGAAGCCAAAGAAGAGGGAGAAGAAGAATGGAAGGCTCTATATACAACCCATGTTAAGAAACGACCCTCATTTTAGGTAAAGTCGATATCAGAGAAGTGCAACCGATGTTCCGCGTCCTGATTCGCTGATGACTGTCAGCCAATCATGACATTCATTCATTAGTATTAAAAATGGCTGACTAATAGACGATTGGTGGATTTCATAGTTCGTCTGCAAACGACGCCATTTTTAATACTGTTTTTAGGCCTGATTGCACCAACGTGATTTCGATTTTAAGCGAAACTTAAACTGTCTCTGTCTCTGTCTCCCTTTCGGCTTTAAAACGAGATAGATAGAGTTTTAAGTCTCGCTTAAAATCAAGAAGTGTTGGTGCAACCGGGCCTTAGTAATTTTGCGATACTGACTTAAGCCGGTTGCGCTTCTCTGGCAGCGATCATGTAATTTCCAGTGGAACTTTTCACTTTTCACTTTTCACTTAGTGATTTCACGCGAACTTTTCCACGAATATAGTGCGATTATATAACTAATGAGCGGAAAGTGAAATTACCAAAAATGAGAGATAACCTTATTTACCTTGTAAATCACTGATAGATAGTAAATAAAACAAATAAACAAATAAAGCAATAACAATGAATGTTACAAGTAAACAAAAGGAAATGTATATATTATGATGAATAACGTGATAATAGTGAAATGTAAATGTTTACCATTTATACTTATAAAAATCTATATAATCTTAGAAATATCATTAATAAAAAAAAAAGATTGTTTTAAAGAATTGTTTTAAAGACAATCAAAATAATGTCAATTTGACGTCATATTGATATTATTTTGATTGTTTTGTTCTCCTTGGATGATAACTTTAGAAACTAGAAACGTTTCTTGCATCTCAATGTTCTAGTTACTTCGAGTCACTAAACTTTCACCTTCCCGCTATCACATTTGATGGCGGAAAAATTCACGTGAAAAGTTTCACGTTTCAACGTTTCGCCGAGTTCTATGATCATAAGTTCACGTGAAATCTTTCACTTTTCGCCTTTCCGCTCTAGGGGAAAAGTTACATGATCGCTGCCCTGATATCTAGGACATATATGTAATACTACTATATGGCTAGTGCCTATAAGAGGGAGTGAGAGGAAGCGGTCCCAGAACCACGGTGCGGGAATATATATTTCCCTCTCTTTCTAAGAGTACTTTGAGTGTTGTGCGCATGCGTTGGATTGATTGCATCCGCCAATAGGAAAATAGAGTGCGATCAGTGAGATGACGCGAACAGGTTATGCTCGTTATGCTTATTAGGGTGCTTTTTCATGCGCAGCACGCTGCAGCAGCAATTCGTTACTATTGGTTAAGAATTTTATGTAAGCTAGATGACGCACTTCCGGCGCAAAATACATTTTGCCGCAGTTCGTTGAAGTTGAACCGAACGAACAGCAAGCAGCAAGCGGCAAAATCGAGGCAATATTATTTATTGCAATAAATATTAGGAAAATTAACGAAGAATGGCTTCGGATAAGGTACGAATGTTTGTAAATTAGATCATTTTATACTTTACACTTTACTTTTTCAAATTTGTGGTAAAGTATAAAATGATCTAATTTACAAACATGTATCCGTACCTTATCCGAAGCTATTTTTCGTTTATTTTCCTAATATTTATTGCAATAAATAATATTTTTATAATGAAACGACGGACATATTGTACGCTTTCTCGATTTTGCCGCTTGCTGCTTGCTGTTCGTTCGGTTCAACTTCAACGAACTGCGGCAAAATGTATTTGCGCCGGAAGTACGTCATCTAGCTTACATAAAATTCTTAACCAATAGTAACGAATTGCTGCTGTAGCGTGCTGCGCATGAAAAAGTACCTTAAGGTACACCCACGGTAATTAATTCTGTCCCTTGGAAAATTTCACAAAATAAAAAATGACCACCTTTCAATATTAATTGTCACAATCCATGCACGATTAACGTTACGACCAGGAAGTAAGATATAAGGAGACTCCACTCCGTAAAATAAAAGTGGACCCATTTTGATTCTGATGAGTGCGAGTAAGAGAAATGATCATTTCTCTTACTCGCACTCATTATGCGCAGCACTACTAAATTCACGAGCGCTGCGAGTGTCGAGAATCGGAAACGGAACTCGAAACCTAAAATGGGTTTATGTCTTGTAGACTGGCGAGACCGAGTGGAGTCTCCTTATATCTTCCTTCATGGTTACGACTGAACCTTATCATGCATGAATAGTGACAATTAATATAGAAAGGAGGTCACTTTTCATTTTGTGAAAATTTCCGAGGGACAGAATTAATTACCGTGGGTGTACTTTTTCATACGCAGCACGCTGCAGCAGCAATTCGTTACTATTGGTTAAGAATTGTATGTAAGCTAGATGACGCACTTCCGGCGCAAAATACATTTTGCCGCAGTTCGTTGAAGTTGAACCGAA